CGAGGAAGGCCTTGGTAGTGTTGATTTTAAATCCGACTTCTTGAAGTCTTTGGAAAATTCATCTAACTATTCAACGTGATCCACCAGATCGTCGTCAGTTAGGATGAGTTGATCATCAATTAATGCACGGACTTTTCCTAAGTCATGCATGCGTGTTTTCATCTTCCTTTGGAGATGTCGGGACTATACATAGGCCCATTGGCAACCTCTGGTACTCGTGCTTTCCCCTCGGGAGTACGATGGACAGTGTTGCTTCGAGTGAGGTGACAGCTCGATGTGATAGTGTCCCACATTCAGGTCTAGACTAGTAGCGTACTTGAACCATCTAGATTCAAGAGCATTCCCGGAATAAGAGATGATCGTACAGATCCGTCTTTCTGGGAATGAGGAGAGTTGGTGCGTCCACTCGGAACAGGTTATCTCTTTGAGTACTCCTGCCTTGCAGAGGGTGTAAAATACTCGTTAGTTTAACAAACTATGGCCACGGAGTGGCTTTTGTGACGCGGGATGGGTGGGGAAGCCCCCCTAGCTGAGTCGTCATCTACTTATTTGCCAATCAACATGACCTCATCACTGGCCCAACGTGGAGCAGCACCAAGTAGACGATGCCCTGGTAAGGGGGGTGAGCACATTGATAGGGAATCTGCAGCGCAAAACCTGGGTTACAGGGGCTTAACAGGATTTTTGTCGGTATTGAACCATTATCACCATAGGGCCGTGAGGACCAGAAGATTGCCAGACCAAAGATGGCTCGCCAGTAAGTGTGTTGGGTGATCAGGTCCCAAGCTGTGGCAAGGGCCTTGGCATGCAAGGCAAGATGCCAGCAGAGCCCAAAGGAAGAACTTGAGTATCTAGACAATTGGACTACTCGAGAAGGAATCCAACCTTTAACTAAAAAGATAATAGATGCGATCCAGCTATCGCTCTTCCTACCAACAGGAAGGAACTTCGTGGTTTCATTGGACCAATGAACTACCAAGGTCTGCTCCAAGACAGCAGACGGAGTAACCATCGTTCCGAAACAGACGTGGGTTACCCAGTATCCATGACCGGTTGTCATGGACAGAGAACGTGAGTCCCGCACAGAGGTCGAGAAGACTCTCCGGGATGAACATGGACTTCGTCGCAAGTTCACGCGCGTCAATCGTGACAAGATTCACCACATCCGTTTCAAAGCAAACTGGAAATACATTAAGGAGCGCCGCTAACGACTTATCCAGAAAAACACCGATAGGGAGAACACGACACGTGTCCCTCATCAACACAATGTCAACGATACTATGATGATTCATCAGTATCAGAACCGCTAGTACGATCAGCCAACGCACAAAGGTCCTTACCACACAGACCGAGTCAATAACAATGGCACAGACCGAGTCAATAACAATGGCACTGTACTGCTCCGACATGCTACCACCAGTAGCGGCACAGTCTACCAGACTTGGAACATAAGGTATTTACACCCATACAAGACCTGATCCCCTTGTAGGATTGCCATCGTGCGACGCACATGTCTACATCCAATCTCCGGAGAGTGCCCCGCACTTTAATTCATATGTTCTCCTTGTCCGACTGATGTCGTGCCTCCCGTGACCCTTGTCAGGGGGCGAATGCAATACACGGCTCTTAGCCTTATTCGCGACTCGATCCTAGATAGGGTTTGAGTTCGACTCATGACTGAGTCTTTCGTGAATAGTCATTGAGACAGGGTTCTCATGACCGCTAGTCATACTAGGTCGATGGTGAAACATCGCGCTAGATATTTAGCTGGCGTGGAGAGATTCCACGCTACTAGATAAATGCTAGACGAATCTTCCACGCGTTCCGTTTTTGGATCGTGGAGTGAGTAGGGTTGCTACCGCAACCTACTCTATCACACTCTACAGTCTCCCGCGGGAGTTCAGATCTACGATCCTTTGATTGTGGATCTCTCTCATTGATTAGTTTTCATAGCTTTCTAATCCTCTCATAACTTTCATTCTCTCAAACCCAAAACACTCGAAAGATCTTTACACTAGCTTTTAGCGTAGTGCAATGGAGAAGATTGCCTAGACGTTGATACTTATGTTTACTCCAGGTCTTATGGCCTCGAAAACTGCACGAGTGGAGATGAATGGGGAAGGTTTGTGGCTGACTGCACCAACGTGGAGGAAGGTGCCTACATGGACCGATGCAACAGTACAGGGTTTGGGGATGGTCTTTTTGAGTCGTTCCAGGTGTTCTCCTATATCACAGCTCGGAATGCGTACGTCTAGCTTTTGCAGAGATGAACTGTGGATCTTTCTCGATTTGTCCTCTCACCGATCCCCTCTTTTAGTGTCAGAAATCGTCCAAATTCCCCCCTAACCGGCTTTTGCGAAGAACCGTCTCTTGACGGGAATCTTACAGAACTGGAACTTGGAGAGCCCTCGGACGCCTTTGCAATCAATGGCGATGAAGTTTTCTTTTTTTTTCATTCCAGTCTTTTCAGTGGGCGAGGAGGAGGTTACCTGTTCCGTGAGTGCTTCCACTGGAGGCACTGTCCTGCTGGCGGAGTTCACTTCAGAGGAACTGGAAGGCACTGGTAGCTTCGCTTTGTTGTGCGAAAACTTTGATGATGGTGGGGCAATGGTTGACTGCACTGAGATTTTGCCGGATGAAGCAATCGAGATTCAGGTCTTGGTCGCTGTTCATGCTGACTGGGGGTTTGCTGAGGGTGTTGTGGTTCAATGTCAGGCTTCAGCTGATCTTGGTGTGGAACGCAATGGAAATCTAGATTTGCCATGATGCCCACTGCGTTTGTAGGAGATAAATGTTGTGCATTGTGTGTCTAAGACCCTCTGGTTCATGAAACGTTCGGCCTAAGAATCCGTTTGCGCGTCTGCGTCGGTCAGTACGTACATTTTGTAGTTTTTGCCCAGCGTTTACCGGTCTGAACAGCTTTGCCATGCCAGATTATAGCAAAAAGCATCAAATCCAGCCGCAACTTTTGATGATGAATCGTGCTGTTTTCCCAAGAGCACATGGCCCCTCCCAGTGGCGGTTGAAATCCCGCTCGACCCCAAACAGTTTCCGTGTGGAGATACGCAGCTTTCCATGGACGACACCGTAGTACCAGAGGACGAGGGCTTCCACCACAACAAGGCCTAATGCGGGAAACACATCCCTTGGTCGGATCCCAATCCAGCCTCAAGCGATAAACGTCATTAATTAAGGTGGCGAAAGTGCACCAGCACTGTTTCGTGCTGCTGAGGTCCGCTACAACCAAGAGAGAAAGGAGGGGATATAGTTTATGAAGATTCATCGTCGCCATGGGATCCTGATACACGACTGGTTCCGCCTGGTACGGTGGTTGCTGCTGTTGCTGCATTGGTTCCGATTGGAACTGAGAAGGCTATTGCTGTTGCTGCTGGGCTGGCATTAGTCCGATATGAGACGCTTGCTGCTGCTGCTGCTGCTGCCGCCGCTGCTGCTACTGTTGAGTGGCTTGAACAGGTCAAATCGTGGCGTCAGTAGTGAGCACTGTGCAGGGAATGAACACCAATGAGCAGGCCATCAAAAGGGGCGGCAGGCAGGGGAGGACAAAGAGTAAACAGAGACAGGGAGGGAGGGGGCAGGGGCCAACTAACAGTAGATCTAGAGGTTGAGGGCGCCATTATCATCCCAGAGCCCCAGAAACACGAGAGCCTTGGGGGCACATGGTGGCGGCTTGGACCACTTCTGAGCCAGAAGCTGGGAGAGCCTTTGGAGAACAGCAGCAGCTTTGGTGGCAAAGAGGCCATCAGCAGAAACAACAAAAGCAGTAAAGTGTTGGGGTTGGGCAGATGTGATTTTATTGTATAGATTAGAGTACTAGTTAAATGCTTTGCAGTACAAAGAGTTCTAGGTATGCAGTGAGCTGCTTCAACAGCTGAAACGTAGCCAAAAAGTGACTCCACCTATTGCATTCACACTTCACTAAGTGACAGTCAAAAAACTCTTGGGTTGATGAGCAAACATCAAAAGATTACACCAACTGAGAATTGAACTCAGGACCTACGCCGTGTTAAAGCGTCGTCATAACCAACTAGACCATCGGTGCTTTGCTTTGCTAATGCTGTGAATAATGGCTGATTTTTGAGTCCTTGATCCTAAACTGGAAATATCCAAACTGGATGGGTGTCTGATTTTTTGAAAATAGATAAAACAAAGCTAGCTACTATGGTACAGCATGCAGTCAAAGGTACCGGTAGCACCTTGTATGGGAGGCTCTCTAGCTAGCTAGCTTCAAGTTGGCAAGTTTTCGCCAGAAGGTCCTCTCTGAGGCAACAGTGTAAATGGGCGCACTGGACAAACGAAATCAGATGTAGCATGACTGGTGAGTGGAGCAGGTGCAATCTTTTCCTGAGTTTCAATTACTTACATGTACTCGCCCTACGCAAGCTCTGCAAGTCAGCCTTTTTGACCTTTACAAATCGGATTGATGACACCACGCACCAAGTACACGTAAATGTTGGGACACACATTGGCTTGGGATTTGACTCGACTCGGGCAGTGGCTATTCTTTGCGGGCGAGGGGGTTTCTGGAAGGTGTAAGCACGGAAGGGGCAATGCACAAATTTCTTCAGTCTCGCAGGGACGACATGTTTTTTGTCGTGTGCGGTACCGACCACGCAAGGACGGGGGCTTGTGTGAAGTTGCGAGATGAGTACCATCTTGGTTTGCTCAATCCTTTTCGGCGTGCACGTAATCTTCAAAGTAGAAGCGTCGAATCTCCTTTTCCGTCTTTTCTCTTTCTTGCAGGGACTTTCTGGCGCCCCAAATAGATCCAACTGTGGCAGTGGCACACGAAATCATGGCAACGAGTGCCATTCTGGACGACGACGACGACGCCGTCCATTTGGTAAGAATCCCCACAATAGCTGCCGACACTGTCAAGACGCCGGAGGCTCCAGCCGCCCCCACCAGTGCGGAAATCGCAAGATTTGTTGTTTCCTTTTTGTTTTGCAACTCGTTCAAGGCGTCACGACAAATGCTGCAATGGGCGGTATGACTCGTGTATCGGTCCAACATGTCGGCTCGCGAACGATCGTCCAAGTAGACTGCCCCCTGGCCCGTGGCGGCCAATGCCAGTTGGGGAGAAGTTGTGACAGTTGCCGCTCGATCGAGCCATCGTCGAAAGGCATTGACCATAATGTCGGACGATGTAGGAGTGTGATAATCTTTGTATGTCAATGCCGATCGTCGCATGCGATCACCCTGCTTGTTGAGGAAAATGCCGTCTCCATCAAAAATACTGTGGGCAATCATGTGCCCCACGTATGCCGGAAAGGCGGGTGCTTTCTTTCTGGTTCGACCAAAGAGTTTGCCGACCGTGCGTGCCATTCTGGGAGACGGTTCGACCTTCTTTTTGGTGTTGTTGTCGTCTTTGTTGTCAGTAGTAGTATTTGTTGTCTTGGAGGACTTTTCCATAACGAGTGGTGGAAGCTGCGCCTCAAAGGGCGTAAACAAAAAGACGCGACTCTTTCCCGCCCCCGTCGGACACATGAACAATTGAATCTCGTACGAGTTCCCAGGGATACCCGCATTTCGATGATACCGGACATTACAAGGCTCGAAAAAGCCTATATGACTCATGGCCAATGCTGGGTCGGATTGATTGGCCACGATGGGATTTTTGAGTGCGGCGACAATTTCGGGATCGTGTTGGGCAGCATTTTCCACGCGTGCTTGAAAGAGCGGCAGCTGGTCCTGCCCATTATCCAACTTGTGACTTAGCTCTACGCGTTCGGAATGACTCAACATGTGGAGGGGCACCGGTCGTCCATCGTTGCGATTCAGTGCTCCGACGGAATGATGCGAAAAGGGCAAATGACTGGCATCCACTAAATTTTCTCCCAAATATTCAAATCCATACGGCAAATCTCGCATGAATCCTCGTGCGGTGCCACCGACTTGATGGAATCGTTGGAGCAAGGATGAAATGGGGAGCGAATCGTTGGAGCAAGTGGTGGTGGGATCGGCCCACACCCAAATCATGCCGGCGGCTTCTTGGACAGGGTACTTGGCAACACCACATGCTTGCAGTAGCTGTTCTTGCTTTTTTGGGCTGCTGGTTTCTTCGAGTTGTGGAATTCGAGTGCAACTTCCGTGGCCATTGTATTCCCAACCATGGTAGGCGCATTGAAGACACTTTTTGTTGTCGCCATTACTATCATGGACCACACGACCCTCGCTTAGTGGCGCAAAGCGATGGGCACACTGGTCCTCGAGGCATGACCATTGTCCTGGGCTGCTCTCATACAGCACCAATTTCTTGTCCAGCAGTTCAATCGGATTCGGTCTTGTGGGGTCGAGAGCGCTGGACAGAGTGACGGGCCACCAATTCTGATCCAATGGTCGAGGGCCTTCTTTTATAGTAGTAGTAGACGGTTCGGTTGCGATATCTTGTTGAAGAATGACCGTCGAAGAGGACCGAGTCACTGACAGGCAGAAGGCATCCACAGATCTGACTAGTAGTGGCACTGCCCAAGCAAGCACAGCAGGGACAAGCATACATGTACTACGTAACATCACTTGGCTTTGTTGGATACAAAATAACAACAGCAACAGTACTGGTAACAGCTTTGGTGGCGTAGTGTTTCTATTTCTTTTGTACTGTTAGCTTTCTGTCGACTACTAGTAGTAAGCTTTGGGCTTTGGGGTGCTTCTTGGTCCGCGCTTGCTTGGATCTTGGATCTTTTGGATTCTCTGGATCTTTTTCAGTCGTTGATTGGATCTGTTCCAGATTGAAGGACCTCCGCACGCATGACGGTGACTGTCGACCAGCTCTTCTTCTAAACCCATCAAGCTGCTTCAAAGCCCACCTTCTTGCCTCCTCCTTTTAGTGTCCGGTTCCAGCAGTAGCAGCCTCAGCTGTCCAAATAATGTGGGATGAATGTCACTAGTACCGTGGTGTTCGCCGGCAAATTGGAGTGACAGTAGGTAGCTCACGAGTGTGAAGGTCTCACAATCGATGTTGAAGGACGAAGCGTGCGCCCGAGGACAATCTAGTTGGGGTTTAGCCTGGACGACTGCACTTTGTGTTTGGGCTCCCCTTAACAAACAATACCGGTACCTGCAGCAGTGTTCCGTGATTGTATTGCCTCTGTCGATAACAGGGAGTTGTATGGCTCAACTCTACAAGAATCCATCCCTAGAGCTGGAGCCAACAAGCTTGTTGAGGATAAGGTTGGCCCTCAATTCTTCCCCATCTCTATCTATTACCGAGCTGTTCTCTACATAACCCATGTCTACTTTTAAATGCTAGCACTAAGGGATTCCCCATTCGTCCTTCACATAGGCTTCATCTTGATGATATCGAATGTAAATTTCCTCGCCTTTCTTGATATCAGCCATGGCTTGGACAATTAAAACTTTGCAGTTGCTGATCACACTACACAAGGCAAATGCAGCATTTGGAGTCGCTGAATGATTCAAAATGGATATGAAAGCAAATAGCCGACTGCAGTCCTGTTCAGATCGGGATCCGCCAAAAACGTTCTTGTCGACGATCCGACCAATCGTTTCCGATGAAAGCCTGACTGTTGTCATTCCTCCATTCTCAAGGAATTCATGATGACCAGGTAGCAATAGCGGAGAAGACTCCAGAGTCGGGGAAAACTGCAAGAACCGTGGTAGACCCCTTTCTCGATGCGTTCCGTCTGAGAGACCCCAGAGTATCCGGCTCAAAATGCCGTCTCGTTGGCATCGGTCCACCAAACGTGATTTCAACGTTGACTTCGCTGTATGATCTGCATGCCAGTGAGTTTGGGTTTCTCCCAGAGTAATGTCCACGGAGATGATCGCCCGTTCAAATATAAGGACTTCGCCTGCCCTCAGGTCGGCCGTTGCACGCATTCCGCGACCCTTGCCTCTTGAGTAGAACGGTTCGATTGGGCCCAAACCATTGCAAAGCAACTGTGGCATCTCTGTCCCAGCTGCAAAGAGACCTCGCAAAGAGCCAGATTCGCAAATTTGACCAGCGCGGTCTATTTCGGCTTCCAAGCTTTGAAAACTCTTCGGTGTCTCGGTTCAGCTTCGCAGGCAGTGTCGAGCTAGGCAATAGCTACCAAGCATTGCCAATGCCTTGGCCAATCGGTACCTGGCTTTGTCAGTTGGTGAGATCCTCAGGGACGCAGCTGCCAAAGCTACGCAATCGTTGAACGCTCCGATGTGGAGAGAGCACAGTGCAGAGTTGTTCAATAGCGCCAGAATGGTATCACCACAACTCAGTAGTGCCTCCGAGTATTTTGCAATGGCCACAGTGAAGTTTTTGCTTTGATACGCGTCGTTCCCTGCGATCTTGAGGATCCTTCCACGTTGCTGGTCTGTATCGAGGTTCTCTGCATGCGGCACGCTAGAGGTTTGCAAGGCGAGAATGGCGGCGTACATCAGCAGGGGAACAGCGTCGTCGGTTTCGAGTGCACCATCCGAAGACAAGACATTCGTGAGCTTTGAGATGCACAAGTTGTACCTTGCCCACGTCTTGTTGCATGAGGGACGAATGGTAAGGGATGCCGCGGCGTCGCATAGAGCTGGCGCCCACAGTTTCAGTGATATGTGCGCCTGGGCCCTGTTGGATAGAAGCGTGGGAACCATAGACACGGAACGCATGGCCCTCCAGTAAACATCCAAGGCACCATCATAGTTTTGCATGGCAAACAAGGCATTGCCTTTTTCTTTTTCTTCTCGAAGATCTTTGTCCCTCCGTTCACGTTTTTGCTCTTGTTTGGTCTCACCCGACATGACTTCATATTCCGAAACAAGAGATTCTGCGCAGTGTCGCTGTGATGCTTCTTCCAGGTTTGGGTTCGTCATGGTGAAACCATGAAGACGAAGCGAGGTGCTAAACATTGATGCAATAGTGAGTGCAAGGTCTCTGTTGTGTCGGTTTTGCCACCACTTGAAAAGGTTCTACCTGGTAAGCGGTACCGGTACGGTGCTCAACCAGGAAGTCCCCCGATTGGCGATCGTGGAAGTCGCAAAAGCCGTTAAAATCGCGCAAGTCGTGCAAGTCGCGATTTAAGTCGTTCCAAGTCGCTTAAAGTCGCATCAAGTCGCGCAAGTCGCGTTTAAAGTCGTTCCAAGTCGCGATTTTTTACTAGTAAAAAGCAAGTAAAGTCGCACCAAGTCGCGCTAGTCGCGAAAGTCGTGCTTCAAGTCGCGATTTAAGGCTTCAAGTCGCGATTTTAAATCGCGACTTAGAAACCGTGAATAGGGCGACTTGGCTTTCCAGTGGCGAAAGTGATGTCATCGGGGGACTTCCAGGTGATAAATTTTCGGAGCAAAGTTCGGGTAAACGGTGAGAAGTTCCGGAATGCAAACAGGGTTATTGTGCGTCCAAGGTCAATTTTTAAAGCAGCTGCGACCGCTTCAACTAGGGTTAAGGAGTGATAACGGTGCTTTAACCACCGCAAAACCAACCGCCACAAACTCGTCGCTTTCCCTCTCGACTCTCACCACACATGGTGCAAAGGGCATTGGCAACACCACCACGAGGAGAAGATGCCACATCAACAAGTCACTGATTACAGCTTAGATCTTCCCGAAAGCCTTCGAGAGCGCTGCTTGAGATACTACGGATGGGACGACGCTTTTACCAAGAAAGCCCTCCGTGGCTATCGGCAATTCATGCAGTTGAAAATGCAACTAGAAGACTGGCATGCCGAAATTCTCTCGCCATCACCGACCATTGACGCTGTTTGGCTCCAGCATATAGTAGATGTCGAACAGTACGTGAATGCGTGCTTGGACTACTGCGACAACTTGATTGGTCACAATCCTGACGATGACCTTGACAACTCAGGTGCCCGAAAAGAGCGAATTCGGACCACCATGCGTTCCTTGAAGCTAGTCTTCGCCAGGGATATTGACAGAGAAGTGTGGTCGTTCGGAGACATGAACTTGGACGATGAATTTTCTCCCCGAAACGTCATGTCTGGACATCTCGATGACCATGACCAGAACAACAATAAGCAAGACGGATGGATCAAGTCCAGGCCATCGGCAAGAGACGATGACGACGACAGGAGCACTTCCCGTGGCCGTGGAGATCAAAGTCGACAATATGTTAGCGACGAGGAAGAACAAACTGAAGATGTCGTCAATAGGAGAGAGAAACATTCTCGACAAAGAAGATCAAGACACCATGACAGCGATGATGAAGCGGTAGGAGAGAAACGTACAAGTAGAAGTCACAGCAAGCAACCTTCACCGAGGTCACCAAGGGTGAGATCACCAAGGATGAGATCCCCACGACGACGTGTTGACAGTCGAGAGGAGCAAGAGGCAGAAAATGACAAGTCAGCATACTGGAACGCCGCAAAAATGACCAGCAGGCGATCTCGAGACAACCACAGCAACGACGACGATGACGAGGGAAAACCTGCAATCAGCCCAACAAAGCGCTACCACGGAAGCTTTGATCAATTCGACGAAGGGGATGAGTGCCAATGGCCCATCTCGGCAAGCGAAATGGCCGAGACACAAAACAAGAAAGTTACCATTCAGGTTCGCGACCAAAGGAATGGTGACATTCAACGCTTTCGCATTCGGAGGAATAGAAAGCTTGTCAAACTGTTCAAAGCCTACACAGAGGCCAATCGCCTATCTATGGAAAAGTGTCGCTTCTTCTACAAAAGTGAACGCATTACCTCCGAGAAAACGGTCCTCTCGGTCGGATTGCACCACGATGCCATGATTGATATGGTGATGGACAAAAGACGCATTTTTAGCTAGCCAGGCAGGCTGGCTACAGGGCAAGTAGTTTCAGACGACAATCGTCAGATTCTATTTGCAAACTACACCACCGGGAACATGGACGCGAACACGGGACTTTTCATGAGTTAGTGGGCTGCCTTCCTCGTGTTCAGGGTACTTTTGGGGGCTCCACTGCATGGAACTCTCTGGGCAACATGGCCCGCTGTATTTGTAATTTATTTATTGGGTGGTTCTATCTTGTTTTGCTTTCACAGAGAAGCGTCAGCAGCTTAGTTAGGAATTTACATGTACCGTACATACATGTACAACTGTAGTGTAGGAAACATATGTACTGTAGTGTTCATCCATCTTTTATCAGTGAAGCATGAGTGCCAGGATTGAAGCCTCCCAATCATCTGATCAAAGCGGAAGATTAAATTCCAGGGCATGTCCATGACACCTCTCGCGAGTCTGCTGGTTAGCTGGCTAGGTTACATGTAGCATGTGCTCTGATCGCACTGTACCAGAAGTCTATGAATACGTGAACGACGGAAGTAGTTGTCATTTGATGCTTTACAGTTCTAGTTTATCCTAGCTAGGCCAGCCTTACAAGAGAAAGATTTTTGCCGAACATTTAACTGTTGTGCCTTGTGCCATCCGCCAATACTTTCATCCATGTTGGCAATCATGCACAGACGATCATTCCTGCCACAAATCGTTCTCAATCATCGTCCTACGAAGGATCTTCTCCACTTGACGGGCCGTGGCTCGTTGACTAGGTTCATGGATCCATGAAATGCGAATGCTCTTGACAATGGCTTGAATGAGAGGGTCTTCCGAAGTCTTGTACTCATCTGGAATGTGTTGTCGACGACCATGCTTCAAGTAGTGCCTCACAGTTTCCCTTTCCGCGCCATCAAAGGGAAAGTCTCCCGTCAACAAAAAGTACAAAATGTTGCCCATGCTAAAGACATCAATGGCTTCCGTCTCCAGGCGATATGTGTACTCTTCGGGAGAACGAAAGTTGCCTCGGTTTGCGCCAAAGGTAAAGCCACAAGCTTCTTTGTCTTTCGCGACGGCCGAAGCATTGAATGCATGACTGGCATCCACCCACGGTTCCTTCTTGGGGAGATGAATCCATCTGGCTCGGTTGAAATCATTGAGCTTGAAGGGCATGCTGGGATCATCGCGCACAAATTGATTGGGGAAAATATCCGTGTGTGCCACCACGGGCTTGCCTTCCTCGGCCATGTTGTGCAAGTCGGAAATGGCCCTGGCAACGTTGTACGCCAACTCGAGCTTGGTTTGACTGGTAAAGAATTCAAAGTTCTTTTCGGTATACTGCAACAAGTTGCCCTCACTGGCAAATTCGTAGAGCCCCGATGTACCACAGTAGGCATAGAGATCCATGATAAAGGGGGAGCTTTGCAGTCGATCCGAGACCAAGGCATCCAAGTTGTGTACCTTGAAATATTTTTCTTGCCATTCTCGTTCGAACAGGAGTGTCTTGAGGGCAATGGGATTTTCCTGCACGCCTCCCCCCAAGTCCGTGTGGTTATGGATCATCCAGACATTGCGATATCCACCCGCCGCCAAGAGTCGAGCCTGCATGTTGGATTCCTCCAAATGACGATGATGAGAATGTCCGTGATGATGAGAAATGTGCAGCTCGTGATGAGAATGCTCCGTTGACACTCTCAACTGCCCGCGAATGTCTTGTTCATGAATATTGTTGCAAGTAGGAAAGGATTCGGACTGCCACTTGTATTGCATTTCACAGCCCTCTGGAATGGGCCAGTCCATAGCCTCTTCTTCGGCATCTTCTTCGTCTTCTTCGGATAGTTCTTCTGGTGTTGTGTAATTGATCTCCAATGTGACGGAACGACGAGGCATGGCATGAACCACCTTGGCCCAGTTGGTAGGAGGGTCGCCTGGACGCGGCAATCGGCTCTTGTCAATGCCCTTGACTATGGTAAAGTCTTTGGGATCAATGGTTACTACCACACTGGAAGAAAAGGAAAGCAATTCTTCAGCTGGATCTTCCTGCTTCTGTTTGCTGTTTTTGTTGTTCTTGTAGTAGTAGTCATTCCAATGATGAGTGGAAGGCCAGAGGAGTCCGACCATTTTTGGTTTGGAGTTGAATACTGGAGGTTGGGCCAGAAAGGCAGTGATAACGTTGCGAGATGGCATTTGCCACTCCAATTCTCGATAGAGCTCTCGATGAGACTCTACTAAAGATCTGTGTTGCATATACCTCAGGGACTCTTGTTGTCCATGGAAATCCTGTTGTTGACGCATCAAAGTCACGGTCGAGACCGACAAAGTACCGACAATGACCAACAATCGCTTCCACATCAAAATACACTGACGACTCTTTAACAACCAGAGTCGAGCTTCTTGCGACCAGGAGCGAGTATTTGCACGGTGGTGATGACGAGGACTGTACTGCTGGTCGTCGTCATGGAAGCGGAGCGAAGTGGGCGTCGGCGGAGTCGGTTTCGTAGGCGAATTCCATCGTTTCTTGACGGGAGACGGGGTGGATTTCCTGGGAGACCAACGCTGCCTCACAGGCGTCCTCGTCGTCCAGGAAGGTTCCACAGCATAGGATGTCATGGTTGCCAATTCTAACTTACTTTTGAATGATAAAGTATGGCTGATGAATGGGAGTTTTTCCTCGCAAATTGTGAGAAGAGTTTCCCTCCTTTCGAAACGCGGGGCCCGCTTTTGAAATTTGAATGTTGAGAAGAAGGCGCACTCTTTTCAAGCTCTAACTCTACTGTGATTTCTCTTAAGCGGAAGGTGTCAGAAAGGTATTTTCGTATGACGGACAGACGACTCGGGATCCACAATCACGGTTCGTGATTGGGGATGTGTGACTCAAATCAGATGGTTATCCGATCATCATCAGATGGCCAGGAGTACGAGGCATCTACAGTAGATCTCGTCGATCTATCTCCTGAAGTGCATGGTTGGCCCTGGAGGGCTTTCCACTTTACTAAACCTATGGACCTTCATCCGTCCATTCATTTGCTCCTCCCATCGCTCCTTGCATTCATCTCTTCGACCTAACTTCCTAACCTTTGTAGTTGATCATCTAGACGACCATTGTCCTCGTT